TACTGGGTCCTGCCATGAGGGCAGGGGACTGGACTCGATGACCTCTCGAAGTCCCTTCCAGTCCTAGTAGTCTATGATTCTATGAATAATGTTTTTGCCTTTAAAGATTATCATACAAGGGAGCAATAGGAGCAGAAGATAGAATTTTAGAATCACAGGGTTGGAAGAGACCTCAGGAGGTCATAGAGTCTAATCCCCTATTAGAAGCAAGATCAATTCCAACTAAGGGTACATCTGCACTGCGGCGCTATTTTGGGATACGTTTAGTATGCTGAAATAGCTATTCTCTTTCTTGACAGCATGCACGTTATTTCGAAATAGCTTTCAAAATAATGGGCTCACTATTCTGACATCCGTGTAAACCTCATTCCACAAGTTGTTGCCAAAATCCTGACAAAGTTAAGCAAGGTGTCCAAGCTAACAGGAAGAATTGGTAAGATGGTCTCTTAAATTTCCATATGGCTAAATGAAAGCTTTTATTTCTATTTCTATATATGGAAATAATATGCTGCTTCTACTTTTCATTTTCAATTTAGATCAAAAATCTATTAGAAACATGATCAATTCCAACTAAGGGTACATCTATACCGCGGCGCTATTTTGGGATACTTTTAGTATGCTGAAATAGCTATTCTCTTTCTTGACAGCATGCACGTTATTTCGAAATAGCTTTCAAAATAATGGGCTCACTATTCTGACATCCGTGTAAACCTCATTCCACAAGTTGTTGCCAAAATCCTGACAAAGTTAAGCAAGGTGTCCAAGCTAACAGGAAGAATTGGTAAGATGGTCTCTTAAATTTCCATATGGCTAAATGAAAGCTTTTATTTCTATTTCTATATATGGAAATAATATGCTGCTTCTACTTTTCATTTTCAATTTAGATCAAAAATAGTATGTTGGTTTCAGGACCACTTATCAGTTAAGGTCTGTGGTTTGTACAGGAAAACAGTTTGCAGGACTACTTATCATCTGTTAAGGTCTGTGGTTTGTACAGCAATACCTGGAAATGGTAAGGCTCAAAACAGAAGTAAGCATTTTCTTATATAGTTTAAATTTATAACAACATAGCATGCAGACTTTTGTCTGAATAATAATGGTTTGCATGCCTATAATGCATTATATCCAAGGATTATCTGAAAACATTTTGCAAGCAATAATGAATTTATGCTAACATCCTTCAGGCTAAATATTTGTATTCCCATTTTGAAGATGGGTAACTAGAGTTACAGATTGAGACCAGCATTTGCAAACATGGGTGTACTTAACAGTTAGAGCCCCCAAAAATATTTTAGTCTGTTGAATAAAAATTGCTTGGTTTTTTCCCAGAACTGTATTGAAGAGCCCAGTGAATGGCTTGAATACAAATAAAAACTAAAGTGCACACATAATTGCAACTCTCTTTTTATTACCAGCCCTTTGGTGAAGTCATTGGCCTCACTGGCCCCAAAAGCAAAGTTTCCACTGACTTCACCAGGGTCAGGACTTCTCTCCTGTTTTTAGAAAGTTTGCTTCTGATCTTGGTCATGACATCAATAGGTGTTAGTGGGTGCAAGATTAAAATCTTATTGGTTAACATCAGTCCAAAATATATCTGAAATAGTTGTGCTGTATGTGAGCTTTGAACTAAAGAGACTGTATAAAAAGGAAAATATATAAAATTCTAATCTTCAATATCATGTTATGCTCATACATCATCACAGGAAATTATATAATATTCCAATCTCCAATATCATGTTATGCTCATACATCATCAAACAAATGAGACCTCAGTCTATAGCAATGAAATAATCATTTGTTGTTGCCAGCTAAATATTGAAGCAATGAAACCTTTTTTGCAAATGAGACCTCAATCTATAGGAATAAAATAATCATTTGTTGTTTCCAGCTAAATATTGAAGCAATGAAACCTTTTTTTTTTCTTCTCTAGATTTAATTTCCTGCAAATACATGTACATGGCTAACAAATTGCAGAGAAAATCTGGTCCACACACTATTCTAACTTCTCTAGAATTTATTTCCTGCAAATACATGTACATGGCTAACAAATTGCAGAGAAAATCTGGTCCACACACTATTCTAAAAATCAATTTTTTTTGTCTATAATAAGAGTGAGCAAGAAAGCTATTTCTCAAGCCAGCTTTTTTGACCTCCAGCAACAAAGAAAAGACTAAAGGAAACACAGTCACTGTACTTTAAAGTGAGTACTTGAAAACGTCATTGTTTATTGGTAATACTTCTGCATATTCAGTTTTCAAGACATTTCAGTTAAACAAAGCATGCTTTTAAAAACAAGGAAGCTGTACAAAATCTAGATTTACTGAGCATCAGAATATTGCAATTTTTTTTTACTTTATGAAATAATTTTGGATGCTTGACATTTTGCTTTTCAATATATGGTACCTAATTTCATTCTTTATCTTCATTACCTTCTTAGAAACGTTGTACTGCTTTTTCATAAAAGAGACTGAAGAGGCTGCATGATATGGATAGCAACAGTGCTGAAGATTTATACATGACTACAACATATAGCAGAAGGACAACTTCACCTACATTGAACTCAGAACTAAAATTTACATTGGCTGTTTTGGTGTTTCTGGCAGTTCTTATGGTTTTGGTAGTCGTGATTACAGTTTTTGGAAATGGCTTGGTCATCCTAGCCTTTTTGGTGAACAAAAATCTTAGGCATCGGAGTAATTATTTCTTTCTTAATCTTGCTATTTCAGACTTTATAGTGGGTAAGTTATTATAATGAAACAAATGTAACATTCCTTGTATAGTTTAAAGCAAAGAAAGGTTTATTTTTATTGTAGCGTTTATCTTAACATGCACATTTCTTGAACATACACTTAAGATCAGAATAATGGGGTGGAAACTGTATAAAGTACTTTTAGGAGACTATTAATTCTCAGAAATGCAATACAAAGAAAAATTGAACTATTAGTAATGTGAAAGATGTGTGCTCTGGAAAAGAGAACAACTATTGTATGTAGAATGGATATGAAACCATTGCCGCTTAGGGGTTATTGTTTGTAACTTGATTTATTTAATCTCCACTTATCTTTAAAACTTGGAATTTAACTTCTTATAGTAGATTGTCAGATGGAGCATGGTATATTCTAATCAATAGATCTCGTATGTATTGCAAATACCCTTTGATTTTTCTGTATTCAGGTGAAATTAGCCAGTAGCCCAAAGTTTAAGAATTATTAGAGATTTTTTTCCACCTCAAGAGCACACAGACTACATCATTCCATTCACTGTGTTAGCTAACTTACTAGCATTAGGCAGTTTTTGTAAGCATTCCACTGTACGTTCCTGTATCTGGCTGCACACTTAAGGACATACTCAAAGAATAAATGATTATTTCTGTGGGTTGATGCTATGTATGCATGCACACACAGAGATCCCCTTTAAAAAAAACTATGCTTGAAATAAACAAAATTGATTGTTGAAATCTGAAATTATACCCCCCTATGGAATTTAAACAAATGTATAGAAGAGAAATAAATAATTGTAAGTTCAGACTAAGAACTTTTACTATGTTAATATTTCAAGAATGTTAATTTTTCCAAGATACTATTGAATTTTCAGTAAGTAACATGTTTATATCCTGTTTATTTTATTTAAGCAGTAGCTGTAGGTTTCTGTTTTTGAAACTTTTTTAGGAGTTCAGTGAGGGCACCATATTTTGAGGTGTTATAAATGTTCTCATGGGGCACCCTGATTTTCAGCGAGTTCACAAGATAGCCGGGCTCAGCAGAAAGAACTTTCTGTTTTCCAATGCAAGACAGTCATTAGTTCACTGACCCAGGAGAAGGAGAACCTCCTAGTGAGCCATCTACTTAACTTCAAGAAGTGCCTGATGCATGTTTCTATTGTATAGCTCCTCTTTCCCATCAGAATATTTAAGTCATTCCCAGATATGCTCGAAACAGACAATTCACACCTTGTGCCTTTTGTGTACTAACTAAAGGCAAAAGATTGCCAGTGTGGCCATCATTTTCAAATTTACATGTATAAAGAGAGATTCCTAAATCCACATCTAGGCAGAAAGATTGCCAGTGTGGCCATCGTTTTCAAATTTATATGTATAAGGAGAGATTCCTAAATCCACATCTAGGCATCTATGTAAAAATAACTTGATTTTTCAGAGGTTCTAAGCTTCATCTAGTCCCACTGAAGATAAGTACAGGTGCTCATCATCTTAGAAAAGAGGTTTAAGTGCCAACATGTGGATTTTAGGATCCTAAATTTAGGCTTAGCCTGGGTGTTGAGACCGCTTCATGCATGTTCCATGCTAATATCTTACCAGTTCAATGCCAAAAAGAGGAAAATTCTAGCCTGAGTAAATATAGGTAACTATAAAATCTTATGATCTCTTTTGCTGATACAGTTCAATAGTCTGATTTGTTTAGACCAGACTTTGCACTTCACTTCTTTAGTTATTTCATTTAGACCACTAACTGTAAGGCAAATTCCACAATCTAGTTACTCTTTCCTTCAGTTATCATGCAAGTCTGGAAAATACCAATAATAATAACTATATTATACCTTCCAGAGAATTAACAGTGCATAAAATCATTATTGAGATCAAGTATAAAGGAACCCATTAACTAATTTACTGAGAACATGAGAACTTGTTTGGCTACATCTACCATACAGTGGAGATCAATGCTCTGAGACTAATTCACTAGTGGTTGATTTAGAGGGTCTAGTGAAGACCCAACTAATTGACTGCTGATCATTCTGCAGTCAATCCTTATATTCTGCCCCCCTGAGGAGAAGAGTATGGTAAGTTGATGGGAGAGTGTCTTCTGTCAACCACTCTCGGTGTAGGTTGAGTCACTGCAAAGTCTAAGGTATATCACCTCCAGCTATGTTATTTTGTCGACCACTCTCAGTGTAGGTTGAGTCACTGCAAAGTCCAAGGTATATCACCTCCAGCTATGTTATTTGTGCTGCTGTAATTGCATATCTTAGGTCAATTTTCTGCAGTAGCTCAGACATCGGCTTTGAAAATTCCAATCTGGTGGTTTTTCAATTGGATACCACAAAAATTGTTCTGTGTTCTGGATAGCGCCATTTGCGGTCCTGTCTATAACTGAATTGATTTTTTTCTCTAGGTGCATTCTGTATCCCTCTCTATATCCCTTACATCTTGACAGGCAAGTGGAAATTTGGAAGACATGTCTGCCAGCTCTGGCTAGTTGTAGACTATCTTATGTGCACAGCTTCAGCATTTAACATTGTCCTTATCAGCTATGATCGGTTCCTGTCAGTTACTAAAGCTGTGAGTATAACATTCATAGATAATTTTATATGCCTTGTGATATTTATATGTAATTGTGTGTGTTTAGAATCCTACCTAACATTTACATAAACACTTTTCACCAATAGAGTGGAAGGCACTTTACAAAGATGGATAAGCATGTCCAGATTTAAGAGACTTCCCCAAAGTCACACACTGAGTCAATGACAGACCTGGAAATAACTCTCCACACTCCCAGACCAGTGAATTTGGCTAATCTAAGTTATAGGTGGCACAGGTAATAGTGCCTGTATTTCATGTTCTCTGGAGTTATAAGATCTTATTGTCATGTAACTTACAACTTTTACAGACTTTTACCATCCTGGTTGATGTTTTCTATGTTGGCTGTCTTAGGCTGAATTGTTTGTTGTTGAAAGTGTCAGCTAACAATTCATCTGTTTCTCAGAATAAGATTAGAGGTAATACTTAGTTTTGACAGTGATAAAAACTCTTAAGTGTTTCATGGAGTAGCTCTAGCTCTTCCATTCTCTGGAGCAGAGACTTGACATTTGGCATCAGGGTTACCCTGCTTTCAGGCATGGTTTTTTTTTCTATTCTTGTGAAAATTAGCCCATTTTAAGAGTCTCTGGAAATCTGTTTGAGTAGGCTTGGTAAGGAGTTGTCAGTTTGGCAGCTAAATTCTCTAACAATTCCACCTTCACTGATCATCTTGCAGGTGTGGAATTGGTCTTCTGCTGCAATTGCTGCACATGGATGCTGCGAGCTGCTGTGGCACTAGGACTGGGTACAGGGAATATGTCTGTCTTGTGCTCCCGATGATGAAGAAGAAGCTGCTTGTCTTGCAGGCAGACTTGTGAAATATCAGGCCTGGGGCAGTGGCAAGGGGGGAGATGAGAACAAGGGGCAGGGAGAAAGTGGGGATGGGGGATTGGGCCGGAATGAAGAGGTGGGAGGATGAACACCTGAAAGAGGCTGATGATGGGAAGACAGGGCCTGAGTTGAGTGGATGAAGGGGAAGAGTAGGAAAAGGAGCTAAATGGGGAGGGTGGGAACTCAAGTGAGATTGAAATTGGGAAATAGAGCCAAGTTGGAGCGAGTGGGAGTTTTGGATGGGGACTAAGAGAGGACAGGAGATTACACTAGGACTGGACCAAGGACAGATTGGAGCGGCAAGGACAGAAAGGTCTGTAACCACCTTTGTAGATCTACCACCCGGAATAAACCCTGTTTCCTGAGTCTTAATGTTTCTCTGTGGCCAGTAAATGTCCATGAAACCCACTGGCAAAGTGGGGCTCACCTCCCCCTAGTGTCTGGCCTATATGGAGAATGACAGGCTAATATTGATATCACTTGCTGGGTTAGCTCAAGAGGCTATGTGCTTTGGATCTAAAGGTTCCAAGCCTGCTGATGACCCATGTGAGTGTTGGTAGGATGTTATAGGATAGAATTTTTTTCCAGTTTGCTTTAAACAAAAAAGCTCTATAACATTGCACCCAGAAAACCTACATTTCTTCTTCGAGCAGTGTCCCGTGGGTGCTCCACTATATGGGTGCTCCACTATAGGTGTCGGGCTTGTCCCGGCGCCGCAGATGGGAGAATTTTCATAGCCGTAGTCTGCCGGACCGTGCATGCGCGAAGCACGGCTAGTGCTCTTTCGCACCGTTTGTGTTCGCACGGTCCGGCTCCCGCCAGTTCCTCCTGATCCTCTTGGTCTGAAAGACAAATAAGAATTCCGAAGAGGGGAGGAGGGCGGGTCGTGGAGCACCCACGGGACACGCATCTCTAATATACTGACATTACCTTTAGTCATAGTCGTTAGTTTAAAAAAAAATTATTTTCTTCAGAAGTTACCTGTAAATAGTTTCTACTGTAGATAGTTTTCTTCTTACCCCATCAGAAGAAGACAGAGGTGACCATGCCGGGTTCTCCCGGTTTTAAAAAGTGCAGCTCATGCCGCGAAGCAATGCCTGCCTCCGACGGTCACGCTCTCTGCATCCGCTGTTTGGGTGAGGGGCACATACCCCAGAAGTGCCCTCACTGCTCCAAGCTTACCGCGAGAGCGAGGAAGGACAGGGACATGAGGCTCAAAATGCTCCTCTTTGATAGGGCATTACAGCCACAAGATGGAGCAAATCCCAGATCCCTCCCTGCTCCTTCAGCTGAGCCATCCCCAAAGAAGGCGAAGAAAAGACCATCGCCTTCTCATTCCCTTCCCCTGACGCGTGTTAGCGTGGGGGACAAACCTGGTACCTCGGGCGTGCATGGCTCTAAGGCAAAGCCCAGCCGCAGTACCTCGGTGCCGCAGCCTGCGACTATTCGGGCGCCTAAGTCATCCCGGCACTGACGTCACATGCGGCACCGAGAACACCTGCTGCGCTGCTGCCGGCGGC